TTTTTTTTGCTACCAGCAGATCCCCTTAACTGATCAGTACTGTATCAGTTTCGATCGATCATGACAAAGAAGAAAATTTCGATCCCAAGTGGCAAGGGGAGGCTACCCTCTTCCTGCTTCCCAGGATCTCTGTTTTGTTCAAAAAATTCTCCACAACCTACTTTTTCCTGTCTGAATCCCCCGGCTCTATCTCCTCCGCCATAGCGCTTTCGCTTGCCCTTAAGCGGAATGCCCTTTCTGGGTGACAATTTCCGTGGTCACTCATATTTCACGTTCTCGCTCTCCTCGAGCGATTTCCGATTCTCTGCATGTTTTTCCTGTACACCATTAGAAGGCCGCCTATATAACGTCATTCATTCATTGGGAATGCTTTTCTTCTCCAAACAGGGAAATGGTATATCAAAATCCATGTGATCGAACTAACCCTTTGACGACAAAGCGGATTTCGACGTGACGCGCCCATGGGACCACGCTCCCCTCCTTTCGCGCGCGACTTGCACCCACCGGTGGATGGCACTGTCCCCAGGAGAAGATCCTTTCACTGGCTTACTGAATTCAGCAATTGGTAAGAAACAAGGAAGTATGGTGGCTCCCAAAATTGGGTGCCAGTCATTGTGGCACCCACCGGTGGGTGCCATTGTCGTCAAAGGGTTAAAGGGTCAAGGGATGCGCCATGAGTCCGACTGCAAGAATTGTTTAGTCTGAGCGAAATCTCGTCCACAAAATAGAACACTCAACTACTTGTGCTTTCTGGATACATATGGTCCTTCCTCAGCTGATTTTATTAGTGGAAGACTATGTTGACTCAAACAAATCCGTCCTACGAGCCGAACCGTGCAGCTTTACATTAACGTCCATTTGTCAACGTAACGTTCTTACGTTCAACGTACGTGCAAAAGGCGTGCAAAAGGCGTAGGACAACTGACACGCTAATTGCTTTCGGGAAAAAATGAGACTTGGAATAAACGTGACAGTTGTCCGGGTGTGTCAGCAACAACAGAGATCACGTAAGGTTTTTTGGAAGCTGACGTGACGATGACGCTCACTAGGGTTTAGTTGACTGATTATCAGCTTTGGTTGTCAGAACAGTATTTGATTTTCTTCATTCGAGCCGTTCCTGCAGGCGTGGTCCGAGGATTACTTCCGGAGCAGAACACTGAGCCTCATATAAAACGAATTGTGACGGAGTAAGCCTATCGACCTGATAGGCTTTGAAAGCTACAGACTCCTAGAGAATGTGAATGCGAGGCGTGTGCGAGGTTTGTGGATTGCACGGGCTCCTTGTTCAACAAGATTCTGTCTGGGAAACTCTGCATAGTCCTACCCTGCTCTCAGCAAAAGCGAAACTTATTTCATCCAGTTTTCTACATAATTTGCTCCCGAATGAGTTAAATGGGGTTTCTGCTTGATATACCTCTGGAATGGCTTCCGAGTCACATATTTCCCCACATGCAACCGAGAATTTTTCTTTGGAGAGCAGGAAAATGTGATCAGACTGACCCAGACTTAGCATGAAGACGACTAATGAATAAAACGAATGACGCGATGGAAGGCGAACGAATGTAGAAAATTTGAAGGACGACTGCCTAAGGTGACGAGCGAGGGAGGAGCGTGCTAGGGGCGGAGTTCACCATTCGCAGTTCACGGGGTGGTACTTCTTCAAATTCCCACGGCAGCGGTTCTGTGGCGATTACCGTATCCTTTAAGTAAAAATCTGAACATCCCTCTCATAGTCCGCGATCGGGCGCGGCGAGAACGACACGCCGTTCGGGGAGAAGGTACCACACCCTTAATTTATAGGTTCACTGCTTTACATAATCAAGAATTGGAGATTGTTGAGATCGCTTCAATTGCAAAAGCTACAGGGAGCGTATGGACAGCGTTATTTCGATGGAAGCAAGGGAGGTAGGTAGCAAAGCCATACTCAGTGACCTCAATCATGCATTATACCAAACGCGTGGGGAGAGACTATATGTATAACAGCTAGCAACCGTCTCTTTTCTACTAGTGAATCCAGGATCTTCGAAAAAACGGCACAATAAAAGGGATCCACCAATATGAAAAAAGTGGATGGACTGCCCACCCAGACATTCACATCTCACGGTCCTTCTGAAAAGAAATTAAGGAAGATCGGAGGAGTTGGGAGCAATTAGCTGCTTGAAGTTATTCGCTTCGGTAACAGCTCATGTGAAGTTGTAGTAATGCGAGAGTTAACCACTTCAATGATGACAGTAAGGCCCCCTTGTTACTGCGCTAGACGCACTACCCAACTACAGCAACACAGATACCTGAAACTTTAATTCGGCGTCGTTTGTCTGTGGCCAGGACGGACAGGAGGGTATGGATGCCACGGATAGGAAACCGACGGATTTCATGCTTTCATCCTGAACAAATGTATATGACGAGCATATTTAACTATGCGATCAGTGATCGAATGCCCGTTCTGTCCGTATTCTTCGTACCAGCCTTGTCCATGGCTAACCGGTTGGCTGGCTAGCTACACGGTCATTGCGTGGATGAAGCTTTGGATCAAAGCTGACCTTCAATCATTTCTTGAAGTTTCTAAAACGTTGAAGTTACACGGATAGGAGACCAGCATTCTGACTCGGCTCCCTTCACTTTAGGAGCTTCCAAAGTACTGAAGGTATAATCAAAGATTCGTGCAAGAATTTAACGTGAGCTTCTCGGATTCACCTCCAAAGACAAGAGGCTTTAGACAGTCCGGAGCTCCAACATAAGGTTATGATCGAAAGCTACGCTCATTCTCCTTGAACAACTGAAGGAACATAATCTTCTTATTCATATAAGGGAATCGTAAGAGCTAGCCTAATATTAGAAGCTGATAAACAGGGTGAATAGAGAGACTAAAGGTTGACCAACCCTCGTCGGACTATGCCCATACATTCTGCTTCCATTCACGACTGTGGGGGTGCTTCAACGCATATTCAACTTATAAAAGCAGGGACCAGCGCTATTAAAGTGCTCCTTCCCTCTCAGATTGCCCTGGTGGAAAGTAATCTGCTAAGGAGGCATAGAAGGGTCAGTTGGCCTCAACGCAATTCCTAATTTGGTGGGTGGACTGGGTGCTGACGGTACAGACAATAAAGGATACGCTCTTACAATCAACTACTGTCTGCATAGACTCTGTGTATAATCTGATTTGCAGACAATCGACTTCTCCAGGCGAATCTTTGAGAGGACTGGTATAAAAAAGTGCCAGCAAAAGTTGATGTGGTCGACACCATCTTGATTAATCAATTCATCTTTCATTTCTGCTTTCGCTCGTAAGGTTGGATCACCCTAGAATAGGGTTCACTAGCACAAATCATGCTCGATGCATGAGTTTTCTTGTAGAGCTTCAGCCAGAATGTTATAACTGTTTATCTAGCTAACATTTCGGCTTCACCGCCTTCTCGAGGGTCCGGAAGCCAAAATGTTTTGATACTCAACCTAGCCAAACTTTACAGGGACACCCACACACCGAGATACATATCATGCCAAGATTCGATTATGATCACAAATTAGACTGTCATCTTCTATTCCTTGATCGACATAGACAGAAGAGGTCCCTACTACTTTACATAGCGTTATCTGAGAAGGTAAGTGCTAAAAAATTAAATAATCGAATGCTTCGATTATCAGAATCCCTTGATATGGGTGGAAAGTGGCGAAATTTCTGAATCAGAGTAGAAACGATGGAGTGAGTTGGCTACGGAGTGGGGGGCGAAATAAGGTGTACTCGAAAAAAGAGCACGAAAAGAATTGGAAACTAGGACGAAAGTAGAGACATAATCAGGGCAACAACACTATGACATGCACTAATGAAACAGAATGGGCATGGTGAAAAGAACTGAAGAAGAAATCAATAGTGAAAAGGTGTGAACAACGTGATATTGAGGACCTTCCGATTAGGCGTTGAAATACGGAACCCCGCAACTGATTCCCAATCTTTCACCTTTTTCTTGAGAAAGCTACAAGAATATCCCGCATATTTTCGTGTAGAATTCCTTTTCTAGACCTTCTCTCGTCTTACACAGTCAAAAATTCAGAATACAAATCTCACCTCAGCCAGAGGAGCTTCGACCATTCCGACCTGTGATCGAATACTCTTCAGGGAGACGTCTCGATACATCGACGCTAAACAATACAGTATACAACAATACTGTAAGCATTAGAAATTCTGTAAAAATATATTACTCTATTATTGCACGTATATAGTATTATTCCTGATAACTTTTGAATAGGTTTATAAATCAGAGCAATCACATCGATTTGGGTAGTGTAGCGTATTGGGTATGAGCGTCTTTCACACCAAAGAATGCCTTTATTTGTATTACGGCTCAGGTGAGTATTCATACTCGAAATCCCTTTAATTAACCATATTGGAGAATGCGGTCAATTACCAGTACAAAGTCGTAATAAGGAAAATTGAGCTATATCATAATAGCTAAACACTGATAGGGGAGGTGGTAAGTGTGGGAAAGGAGGAAGGGGCGGGGATGAAGGCGGTGATAGTGATCAGCACTAAAACTATGTTTCTACAATATCGACTTTTGGGATTTTTATTCCGGCTAATTTGTTTACTTTTACTTTTTATACAGTCAAAGTGATAGAACTACAACTACAAGGAAGAAAAAACTCACTGTCAGTACTCCGCCTCTTCATGTACACGTATTGATTACTGAAAAAGGTAATTATCAGTTCTTCGAGTAGTATTTAAATACAGAATATTAGAATTCAATTCAATTCATACAAATAAAATATCTGGACGCATGAGAAATCGAACCAACGAGAATATAAAAGTTCACGATTATTCAGGATATGCCATGTATTTGACGTGGTGCAAAACCGTAGACTTCAGTAATACACTTATTACTATTATATTATACGTTTGTTATTTTACACAACCAGTAAACGCTGACGTACAGAATTATTACAAACGAAATAAAAAATATTATGGAATTAAAGTTTTGGGGCGTCAGTCAATCTCGTCAGAGGGATGCGCCCACACATTCGACTTCCATTCACAATTGTAGTGACGTAGTGAATGCGTATGTGGCCTATTCAATGAATAGCGGTAGCCAGCCGATGTACAAGTCAGTGCTTTTGTCCTCCCAGCCTAGTCTTGTACCGAGTAACCGATCCCAAGGGATGGAAGGCTTGATTTACCTGGGCGGATATCGATGCAGGAATCGAACCCGTGACCATGGTGTGTGAAGTGCGCCACTAGCCACTACACCACCTCCACCCTAACAAATACGTATAATAGATGAGAAAATTTTATTTTCATTTCGTAAACCATGTAACAATCAATGAATTCATGGGTGGATTTGTTGACCTGGGAAGGGTTTCATCAAGCAAGGGTTATGATTGTTAATGAAGGGCTCAGTAGCTATAGTGATACCACCCCTCCCTCACCACTTCCATACCTGAACCAGATAGTAATTATTTCTAAGCCTTAAATCATACGGCATTGATCAGTTTCCTTTCTGAAAAGCATCCCGGCAATTCGCTTCCAATCGGAATCGTAGTGGCGTAATGAATGCGTATGTGGCCTATACGATGAAATGCGGTGACTAGCCGATATACGAGTCAGTGTTTTCATCCTCCCAGACGAATCTGGTACCAGGTAGGCCATCCCGGAGGGACGAAAAGTTTGGTGGGCCTGAACCGTAATCGAAATGAGACTCGATCCCCAGACCATACGTGTGATTATGAGCGACCCTTGCTACTATACTACCTCCGCCTCAAACCAATCCTTTCCTTTACTCTCACACGCTTCAGAAACATTTTCAACCATCCGGAAGGGCTTTCAAAAAGCTTAACTTTGCAAGATTGAAGTCTTTCCAGCAACGATTCCATTATACATCAAAATACGCTCATGTACATTCATTCGCTAAAAATCTTCTAGAACAGCCATGTTCCTATTTTCCCTCCTACCTTATTTCCTCTCTTTCTGTCACGCTCTCCAACCACCGAATTACTTCTCGCAGCCAACTTCTAAATCCTACTTTTTCCACTCCTCATTTCTCTCGTCTTGAACGTCACTAATGAGCTCGTCTTTTGTTTTTGCCACCCTCTTTTACGTCATACCCTACCAAGCCTCTGTTCCTCAATGACCAGCATATTATCTTTTTTACATAAGAATAATGGCGGCAGGTAGTGCAAATGCAAGTGGTGCACTATCACACACGTATGGTCTGGGAATCCAGTACTGTTCGATACCGCCCTGGTCAATCAACCTTCCTTCCCCACGGTTAGATGGCATCACTCGTCTGGGATGCACCCACAGCAAGTCACTGTACGGAAAGCATACACATTCAAAACGCCGCCACGATTCTGAATGGAAGTCGTATGGCAGGGCCATCCCAATAAACCGGAACTGACCGATGCTGAAGAACTTCAACTCTTATCAGAACAATAAACATTGTAAAGGAAGATTACGCATGATCCATCTCGTTTTCCCACTTATTAGACCCCTAGATCGGATCCTTTCCAGGTAACTGGTTTCTCATCCCTGCGATTTCTGTCAAATGCCACCGTGTTTTACTAGGAGCTGCTACGCGACCGAATAAAAAAAAAATAAATGAATTATTTAATTCAAAAGACCGATCGCTATCGCCATTATTCTGCCATCACCAGGTAACCGAATTGCCCCGGGAAGAGTAGTGTTATATTACAATTCAGTAGTTGCTACCGAAAGAACTTTCTGGACTTCCTTGAAAGAGGTTTTGAATCCATGTGGTCTACATTCTAAACGATTTATCGACCGCGTTTTCCATTCTCCCATATTGCTCCATACCTATAGAAGGCTTTGTGGAGATTTCCCACTTTACCCGTACGTCACTGATAGAAAAACTGTCATTTCGGGTCGCTGGCACTTCCCTCTATTCCCTCAGCTCTTTGTTACCCGACGAGAGAACGTCACTGAATGTCATCAAACGTCATCGTCGACAACCACGATGGCTACGACACAGCCGAGAGACACCCAACCACCCTCAGATGCATTGATTACTCAGCGTCAGCGCCTCAATTACTGCGACAAATAACTTGTCTCGCCTAACCCTCTACATACTACGCATACACACATACATATAAACGCGCATCCATAAACACATTCACAATGTGCCCCTCGTGTATGAGTTGTTCAGACACCCCGCACATCCCCAGAGGGTTCCCAGAACGTTTTATGGTCTTTGGGTCAGAGAAGCCGACAGCATATTTCCACCAGTTTACTCTAAGGAGGAAGTATGAAATAAGCATTGACGATCTACAATCAGGAAGTCATTTCACAATTGATTGAGGTCTAAATTGCGACTAACAGAAGGTGGCCAACTTCTATGGCACATCAATTTGCCCAGGCAACATCGGTTTCATAACCGGCCTTCTCCCTGGTAGGACGATGCTGTAGAAGTTGGTTTGGGCCAACAGCTTGGTCATTGACCTTTATGAACCTGCGAACTCGCCGGGCAGAGTTGTCCTGTGGGGGAGGGGAGGGAAGGGGGTAGCGCTGTCTGGAACCTCCAGTTCGATAAGGTTTGAAAAGGTCCTTCCTAAGTGTTCAATGCGATCTCTGCGACCACAAGGGCCCAAAGAACTTGTCTGCTTCAAGTAGAAAACAGTCCCTTAGATGTTACGGTACCAAAGCCCTCTCCGTCTCCACATACAAACTCCGCCCACAGGAAAAGTAGGAAAACAATGGCAGGAAGCAAATAGGCTTCAAGACAATGTACTTTGCTCACTAAAAGACTTCGAGCGGTGAAATACATAGGCTTAATCCCCCTAGTACTGCAAAAAATCGGAAAAAAGAACGGAAAGGCTTGGAAACAAAGTCCTATCGTATCTCCATACCTTGGAAATCGGAACTAAGGATGCGTTGAGTTAGAAATCGCCTAGCTATCAAGAAAAAAACTGAGTGAATCCGATCAAAAAGGGGAGGAGGAGGGTGAAAGGAAGCGAAAATAATTGAATGAAATATTCCTAGCTCTTCCAATGCAATCTCTCATAACGTCACATGACATGGGCGTAGGCCACCTATTGGAATGCCCTTTGTTAGTTGCATGCAAAATCTCATGACAATAGAAAAAACTCTCCAAATTGAATTGTTGCACAATGCGATGTTTGAGCGCTTGCGTGGTGAACACGTGCACTTTCGCAGATTCCATGAAACGGTTTCATCCTATGTTAGGCTTGGCTAAGATCCGATTCACACCCTCTGAGTTTCAGACAGACCAAGTAGTCGACGAGGTTTCGTGACTACTTAGTCTGTCTGGATTGCAGGTTACTACTTTTCCTTATTGACTTTTTCGAAGTTTGTTACTTAAGAATACGTAGTGGGATTTCCTGGCACATTGACTTCTCATCCCCAGAACTGGGGAGATTCACTAACTAATGAATTCGAGAAAAAAATTGAATCAATGGGGCAAATGGCTGAGGATCAATGTTGTCCGCACTGGGCCTTCATATATGATAAATCCAGACCATGGCGATCTCAGTAAAAAGTAATCACGGACAGGTTCGAGGGAAGAACAAATCTTTTCCTTATGAAAAGTATGGTTGACAAGCAGATAGCTCAAGATCAATTGGTGGTACCAGTTCAGGCAAAAGCCAAGTTACAGTACAGCCAAAANAAAAGGTCAAGCGAGCGTTCAGGTATAGTCCATCTGACTATACCAATTTGTAGTTAGAACTTTATCCTCTCCACTATAATGCTTTACCCTCTGCGAAAACACCTTACCCTGATCAACTTAGCCTACTTACAAGGATAACCACGAAACCACTAGTCACCCAACTCCTAGCTTGACCCATGGTAGAAGAAACTATTTCAAATCTATTTAGGACGGAATTCTACCCATCTGCTTTTTGATTTGGGATTCTACAAAGCTTCCCGATCCGCCAAAAAACTTTGGAGTGCAGAATTCACTGATGCCTAGGTGTTTCCCTCCAACCGTCTATCGACTGACCCTCATCCAGAGGGCCAGTCGATAGACGATAAAAAGACGTCCGCGATTCTTATTTAACGTCCCACTTATTAGCATCACTATTCCCAATCATACACATCACATATCAGCATCTAAATCGATCACACTGCAGATTGTTGAGCTCTGCAAAATACATACAGTACAAGATATG